ACATTCTTGTACACTCTTTTCAGCGCTCCTGCACATTTTTGTCAGGGTGCAAGGTACGTCTAAGTAAGACCCTCACGTCAGATAGGACAACTGTCATAAGGATGTCGGCGATGGTAGCAGCCCTCTCGCTGATCTACAGGACGAAAACCATTCAGGTAAGCAACTTCGTCACAACAGGAACCAGGGCGGCTAGCATTAACCATTCCTCTGAAGCATGCACGACAGAGGGCATGTCGGTTGCAGGCCATGACTATTGTGGGGCGTTCACCATCACAGTTAAGTGCACATTGACTATAGCGCCCACAGGCACAGATGGGACATACTGCATCTGGATGTAGAGGATGTTCACAATCCGGATACAGGTGGCATCCCTTTCGACAGCGGGCCCGAAAAATTATATGGTTGTAGTGATGTCGACAAAGTCGATGCTTTCCACAACCAAGTGTAATTGTGTCAATGATCTCACAAAGGAGGTCACAAGGTGTTAGTGCAACATGTGGGGGAATGAAGACTAAAGCAGGCATGGTGACAGACATGGAGGTAGGCACGGAGACGGACACAAAATTGGGCATGGAGACAGGTATGGAGGCATGCACAGAGACAGGTGCAGAGGCAAAAACGAAAGTACACGTAGTACCCATAGAGTCAGTAATCTGGAAGGAGACAGACACAGAAACAGGCACAGAGACAGGTAAGGGGGCAGGCACAGAGATAGGCGTAGAGGCGGGCATGGAAGTACACAAGGTACCCATACGGTCAATGACCTGGAACAGTTGCAGGTTAGGGTAATTACGCACGAGATCACAGATGGCAGTAATAGTTTTACCATAGCACCGTCATTCCATAATTCCCAAGAACCAGAGGCACGGACAAGAGCGGTGTACAATATAGGCATAAACGTGCGAACAGTGGTCCGGGTCACCACCCGAAGGGGCACGCTGCATATCAAGCCGGAGCCTTATCAAAGCAGAGAGAGAGAGAGAGAGAGAGAGAGAGAAAGAGAGAGAGAGAGAGAGAGAGAGAGAGAGAGAGAGAGAGAGAGAGAGAGAGAGAGAGAAATTGGTCAAATCTGAGATCCCGTCTTAGATCTGGTCCTGACCAGATCTCAGATCTGTTCTCACGGAAATCTAAATAACTTAACAGTTTAAATTTTCAATTTTCGTATGAATAAGAATTAGAAAGTCTAACTTCAGAGTTCAAAGTGCTGTTTTTTTCTTATTTTTGTACTCTTTTTTGAAGTGACTTGGGATTGGTCTGTTGAGAATTGGTTTCAAGTGTTCTGTGAGCTTTTGTGAATGTCTGTGACATTATTGACTCTATTGAGCTGTTAAGTTGTGAACAGTGAAAGACAGTAAGTTGTGGTTAGTACTGCTTATTACTAATTTTTTTTATTTTTTTTTCCCCCTTGCGGTCTGGACATTTTTGTGTCAGGTGTACTGGTCCAGACAGTCCGGGTCCTGTCCTGTCCGGTTTTCTGGTGCCTGTCCGGATTACTGGACGTCTGAACCAGTGCAGACAAATGTTTGGGCCTCGGTCCAAACATGTCCGGGTCCGGGTCCGCGGTTGCCATGATATATATACATGGTTACCAGGCCGAACGTTCGAGCGTTCAGGGTTCGGTTCGGGGTCCGAACTTTAAGGGGGTTGGCCCTTGCTGAAAATTATTTCGGGGCCTAAGATTTTTTTATTTTTATTTTTGAATTCTTTTTTAGGAGTTTTGTATGACAAGCGCTACATGCATGTAAATTCTCAAGGCATTTTGCCAAGCCAAAAAAGAAGAGAAAAAAAGCCAAAGATGGGGGTCTCCAACGTGCTCGGCCACTCAATGATTTTTCTTTCTTCATTTTTCACTTTTTGTTTTGAATGTATTTTGGTGCCTTAAATAATTTATTTGTTTTGAAACTTTTTTTGTGAGCTTTATATTATGTGAAATACAGTTCTGTAAATTTCCAACGCATTTAGCTATCCCAAGAAAAATATGAAAAATTGCCAAACTGCAAGTCCGATTTTGGATTCAATGCGTGTTGAATTCCCGTCGAATCCCCGTTTAAACACCCGTTAGACGAGAAAAAGTGGGGTCTGCGAACTCGGATTTCGCACGGTTGGTGGTGGGTGCAAGGTTTCTGAGGGCGTGGGGTGGTACAGTGGCTTGTTGGGTACCACCTCGTGCCCTCATAATTATTTTATTTTATTTTTTTAATAAAAAAAATAAAAAACATGACCCATGTGCGGGCCTACATCAGCCAGGGCGTTTTCGGGGGTACTAGGGTTGGACGGGATGTTGGGGGACAAACGAGACAAACACGGCCTCACTTCATTTGCCGCACGAGTCCATAGGTCTCAACTCGACAAACGTGTGACACCATGCGGCCAAAAAGAGAGAGAGAGAGAGAGAGAGAGAGAGACGACGGGAGAGAGAGAGTAAGAGAGAGACGACGAGAGAGAGAAAGAGAGACATGACACGCGCCTCGGATCGACGCTTCGAAGCGGGGTGGAAGTCCGTCGCCATAGGAAGGGCACAACAGCGCCAACATGAGCCCGCTCCGGAACATGTGCAAGAGAGGTTCAGGGGTCGCTCCCTTGTGTATCGGTACCTTGTCATCGACCAGAAGGTCGACAACAAGGTGGTGATGATGTTGCGTTGCACATTAAATTTTTGCAACAAAGTCTTTCAGGGGACTCAGTACCAGGCCACGAGGCACTTCGTGCAGACTAACTACTGCAAGGACGTCAGCAACGAGGCATTGTACGAGATCGCAAGACGAACTCAAAAGAAGTTCGAGTTTGATCAGATGGAGAGGGTTGGCCGGTACGCAACGGAGCATGGACTTGATGTGCCCCGGGTCAGTGGTGCAAGGGGAGGAGAGGCGGGGCAGCGTTCGATGGAGGGGGGGGACGAGGGAGATGGTGGGTAGGGTGCGCCCAATCGTCCATGAGGGAGTGGAGGTGGTGACATGGAGGAGGATGTGATCCACATCGATCGCAAGGCCCGTGGACCGGGCGAGGAAGGATTCCCAGGGCACGAGGACATGCCAGAGTTTGATCTAGTCACTAGGGAGAGGATCGTGGACTGAGAGCGAAGGATGCATTACATCCATTTCGCAGATGATTTTCTAGTAGCAATCTCTGGTCCACGATCAGAGGCCGTGAAACTCAGATCTGAATTGGAATCGTTCCTTAGAGACAAACTCCAATTAACACTTGAGTATGGACAAAACCCATATTGCCCATGTGTCGAAAGGAGTACCTTTCCTTGGCCACAACATCTTTCGAAGTATGCGGTGGCAACCTTACGGTTTGAAGATCAGACGCTTCGCGTCTGAATCCCACGAAGACGTAAAAGCGTGTAAGAATTTAACTGTCTTTGCGAATACCGCTAAATACATCAAAAGACTTCAAACCCAAGGTTTCCTCAAAGGGAATGAGCCACAACCATGTTTTGGATATATGCACTTTCCTCAAAGTGAAACTAACTTTAGGATTAATGTTATTCTAAGAGGATTGAATGAGTGGTTCCGACATGCACAGAACAGACGCCGTATCATGTGGTATTTTTCCACTATTTTACGCCACTCTCTGGCCAAAATGTACGCAACAAAATTCAAACTTGAAACTAGAGCTCAAGTATTCAAGATCGCGGGAAGGAATCAAGGTAAACGTTTCAGTGCGAAACCAGACAAAATTCCGCTTGGAATCACTGACCAAACTGCAGAAGATTGGGAAACTCAGTGAGTGGAAAAGGCACTCCCAGCCAACTGTCAGGTTGGAATTCTATATAGTAACCCCAAAGACTTGCCTAGAAGAATTTGAGCACTTACTCGAGGAATTGGTCCCCGGGTCATGAAAAAGTGCTGGTCAGACTTGCTAGAATAGAGGCTCCCATGTCCAAAGACCAAAAACATAAACTTTTTTTTCTAGTACATAATTAGTCGAGTACGAGATCCAATGTCTCTTCTTGTGTGGACTCACTAAAGTCAGGCCTTCGGCTTCGCCCACTTCGTGTCATGAGGTTGCCTGGAAGTCCACGGGGGAAACTGGTCACCTGATCCAGTGAAACCCCGCCAAATAGGTAAGAGAACTCAAAGCAAGTAGAGTTAGTGAGCCGTGTAATGAGCAACTATTTCGCACGGTTCGGAGGGCACTTAAGCAGGCAAGGGACAAGTACCTACAACGGAGGGTCCGAGAGGGGAGGATCCTTCAAAGAGGAAGGGAGGAGGAGTTGATCCAGCTGCCACCCAAGCTGGAAAGATGTTGCGTCAGCAAAAGGTTTCTGAGGTCTACGGTGGCGAGTGGGTTGCTTGCCACAAGGAGGCCTTCCTTCGCTAGCTTTACTCCAGTGGGGTCTCCTTCAATGCCTTTCGCAACGAGGCATGAAAGGCATATATCCAAGTGCTTCTTCAGCAACCTGGCAGTTCGCCGCACGCTGTGCTCCCCAGCCACAGCGAGATTGCGAGCATGCAGACTGTGGAGACCCATCATGGGAGTTGGCCGAGGAATTGGAGGAGGTGAGGCAGCCACTCTGGGTGACCGGTGCCATCATCCTCTCCAACGGGAGGAAATCACGAGATGGGAGACTGATCATCAAATTCCTTGCAGCATACTCGTGAGGGTCGTCATGTACATGACGATCAATCAAGAGGGGGAGTCAGACGATGTAGAGAACGTCCTTCGGAGATGGGTGACCATCTTCCAGGAGTTCAGGTTCAGTGGGCCCTAGCGGGTCAATGCAATATGCACTGACTCTGCTTCAGCATACGTGGGGGTTGCAAAAGCGATGGCCTCAGCGACCATGCCTCTTGCAATGAGGACGATCACTCGGCTTCCATGCTTCGTCCATGTCTGCAACAAATTGTTGTCAGACATGGGGACGAGCTGCGACGCGTTTGTGGACACGATAAAACGTGCTCGTGTGCTGGTGGTGTTTTTCAAAACCCACCGGGCCACCCTCTCTTTTTCCGGGAAGCGCAGCCCCAATATGGGGCTACTTCTTTCCTGCGAGACGCGGTTTGCGTCTATTTACTCCATGCTGGAGTGGTTGCTGGCTCTGCAACACACTTTGCAGGGCATGATGTGAGGGGAGGACTCGCAAGCTTTTGCTTCCATCCCATGGTCCGCCGACGTGTACTACATGGTGAGTTGGGTATGGCGACAAATCAAATGGGATCCTTCGTGGAAGAGGATCGCCACCATCGTCCATGTCATGGAGCCCGTCATGCAGTTGCTTAGGCGGATAAATCGTGGAGGTCAATTCATGTCGCTTGTGATCAAGTGGGCACACGATCTCGGTCACCGTGTGAAGGACGCATGCACTCCTTTGGGCCAGACCTTCGCGGACCGGATCATTAGGCGTGTGCAGGCCCGCGCACAGCACATGCTTGAGCCGGACCACTGCGCAGAGTTCTTATTGAACCCCCGTAGGCCACATGTTCGTTACTTTTCAGGCAAGGTGGCGGTGTACCCTGCTTGGCTTGTGAGACAAGCCAAGAGGTTTATTCTGACGCAGACTGGTTTTGAGTTGGATGGTGCGGATTACATCGTTGCCTGTCAGCAGTTCGAGGACTTCCACATGCAGCAGGGCAGGTTTGGTGATTGGGGCGGGGCAGAGGGGCGTGCTCGTGGGCGAGCATGTAGCGGTAACATCGAGACGATCGAGTGTGCGTCTTGGTGGTCCTTGTTTGGGGTGGACACGCCAGAGTTGCAGTGGTGCGCTCTCCGTGCGATGAACATATGGTCTTGCGCTTCTCCAATGGAGAGGAACTGGGCGGTCCACACGGGCATCCACACGAAGAAGCACAACTGATTGGCCTTCAAGAAGGTCGTGCAACTAGTTGAGATCACCGCAATGTGCGGTTAACAGAGTATCGGCGGGCAGGATGCGGTTATGTGTTGCCATGGCAGCGGGACGAGGGCATGCTCGACTGCCAAGCAGGACTCGGGGTGGAGTTGATGCCCACGGGCACGGCGCAGAGGGATGACGGAGCAGGAGATTTCCCAGCAGGTTGCACTTATTACGCGTGATCCCATCCAGGCTTCCGCACCACCCTCTCCTGATGTCGTTTTTGAAAGAGGGATGATCACCCGGAGGACGAGCGGGCACCCGAGGCAGCTGATGACGCAGCACTCCCCATTTCGCGTGAGATTTATAAGACACACGAGGACGTCGATGATGCAGAGACGAGGACTTAAACTACACGACGGGGGGCTGGCCGTGCGAAAAGGGAGATGATGGGGGACAACAAGGATTTTTGGGGTCCTTTCGAGGAGGTGGCTTCCGTGGGTCATTTGCGCGATGACGAACTTTGGGCTCTCATGCAGGCATGAGCCGCACAGAGGCGCAGATGACGACTCTTACTCCGACGAGGCGAGATTCATATGTGCCACCACCTCCTGCTTCGAGTCCTGCACCACCCTCCCCCGTCTCGCCACTTCATCCGGCTACGGCAGCGATAAAGACGGAGGTGTTGGCATCTTTCTTACCTCAGCACAAACTTCAGCAGAGATCCGCACTAGTTCCGCCAGCTGAGGTTACGGTCGCCGTCCCCGGGGGTCTTGCAAAAGGAGGGTGGCCACCATGCCACCACGGCTGACAAGCCGGGGGCAGCCCGAACGGAGGAGATGGGAGTAGGAGGAGTGGAGGAGATTGGACCACGAGTGTTGGACGAGGAGGTAGCAGCAGCAGTGGAGGAGGGGGTCGCGGCAGTAGCAGCAGTGGACAAGGATGTACCAGCAGCAGCAGCAGCGGAGGGGGAGGTAGCAGCAGCAGCAACAACGGAGGATAAGGTAGCGGCAACAGCAGTGGTGTCGGATGTTGCCATGGAGCACAATGGTGCGGACTCCACTGAGGGTGGTGAGGACGTAGAGGAGCACCTCATGCAGCAATTTATCACGGAGGAGCTCAATGTGGTCGTGGGGGTTTCACCCCGGGTGTGGCGAGGAAGTTGGGGATGTCTCCTCCCATAGGGGGAGCAGGTTCAGAGATGGGGACCCACTTCGACTTTGACATGTCAATGGGTCCTCCCCCTTGTTGTCGCGGGGTGGCATCGACAGATCGGGCGCCATCAAGGGACGAGGCGGCATCAGAGATGGGGACTCGGACCCCAAGAGAGAGGACGACTGCGGAATCTTCAGATACGACACGCTACATCATGGAGCGACAGAGAGCTCGACTGATGGCATCCAGCGACCCGCGTGCTCTAGCGTTCGCACGGGCCTTGGACGAGCGCAGGCGTCGAGAGACAGGGAGAGATGGTGGGCAGGGTGGGGTACTGGCGGGGGAGGAGGCCATGAAGGGTGTGCCACTAGAGGCGGAGGAGGCTATGGAGGGTGGGCCACATGCGGTGGAGGAGGCTATGGAGGGTGGACAGGGGCGAGACGACGGTGACGCACTGCCCGTAGTTCATGAGACAGAGACGGGTTCAGTCGTCCCTTCTCGGGCCTGCACTTGGTTGAGGTCCGACACTCGCACTCGGTGGAGGTGGTAGTGCATGATGTGTCGCCTGCTGTTATCATGGATCTGGGGTCCGAGACGATGGTTCCGCCTCCACCTCCTCGGCGATCGGCTCCACAGGAGATCGATCTCCATTGGATGCAGAGGAGTTGGCGGCGGCCGCTGTGTGCGATGTGACTCGACTGGACCGACTGGTATTTGACACAAGACTCCAGCATCCCTCGTGGCAGAGGATCCCTTTAGTTCCATGGGCCCCTGCGTCATCGGTATGGTCCGGGTGTACCTCGACAGGAGGATGTAGCGGGGCAGATGTTTCAAGGGTTTCGGGGGGCCTGCAGGAGAGAGCGCCCAGGACGGGAGACAGACCACCCCCTCCTCCTAGACCGCGTGAGAAGGATCCATCATCGTCGCCCACCGGCCAGGGCTCTCGATCCCCACAGACGTTCGGGAGATCGAGGATTTGTAACACGACACCGGGTGGGCGGGATGTGCATGACACAACGTTATTCGGGAGGACAGACATAGATTTGCATTCCACCCTCCGTGTCACGGAGCTTACTGCACGCCTTCAGCCAGGTTTGGGAAACCGCGGTGCCAAGACGACCGCAGCGAGGGAGGTTGCAGCAGCAGGTTGTGAGCCCCAACGGGGTTGCGGCAGAGGATTGTCCACCTCGACCTTGGACCACGCTTTGAGAGCAATGACGCGTGTTGTGCATGAGCAGACTCCACGCAAGCATGAAGTGCCTCGTCCAGGCCCCGTGCCTGCAAAGAGAGGCGCTGCACTTGGAGAGTCTTCGGGGCTAAAGGGATTGGGGATGCCTCGTGGATCCCTCAGGAGACGATTGCACAAGCCAGTACGAGGGTTGTTTAGGTAAGGAAGGGAGGCGGCCCTGTCACCATAGAAGAGGACCATCCTGAAACGGCTCCGTCAGTGCAAGAAGATGAGGAGTATGAGGGTGAGGATGAGAGTGAGGGTGAGGATGAGAGTGAGGAGGAGGAGAGTGAGAGGGGCGAGAGTGTCGACGACGACGACGCCGATGAGCCCCCACCTCCTCCACCAACACGTGTTTCGATATGCGCCACTGCGTAGACGTCTGCGCAGCCACGAGGGAGGGGGAGGACGACATCCGGTACTGGACCGGGTACGAGGAGACAGCGAGGTAAGGGGAGGAAAGGTCAATGACCATGAGGCCAGCTTTCCCCTTTCCTCTTCTTGCACGCGACTTCGTCTTGGACTGAGCTCCTATTTTTTTGGTTGTGTTGTCTTATCTGTGTATTGTCAGGTAGTCACTAGTAGTGTGCGTGTTGCAATTGTTGTTGTTTTCTTCGTTTTTTGTTTTGTTTTTTCTGGTATGAGTAGGGCGTTTGTACGACAGCGTTAGTCGTGGTAGAGTATTTCGGCACCGTTGACGCGATTTGTGAAGTACAAATTTTCTATTATTCAGTGTGTTCCATTAGTAGGATACATTGTCTTATGTTACATTTTTCATGTGTGATTTCAGAGACTTGTACTTCACGACTTTTCATGTCAATTACATTTTTCATGTATGATTTCAGTTACGAGTGTTGCACGACGTTTCATGTCCATTTTTGTCAGTGTGTAAATTTACGTCTTTAATTGAGGTTTAAAATTTTTATTTTATTTTTGTCTTTTTTAAGGTTTTTTTTTTTTTTTTTT